ACACACACACACACACACACACACAAAGATCCTGGGTAAAGGGCATGGCATTCAAGTAGGAGAAGCACTGCCTTAGAAGTTTGCTGTTTACAAACCCTTCCAATCCCCAACTCCCAGTTCCACAGCGGCGTGAGAAAGAATGGAGCGCACACATTGCCCAAGGCCAGCGTGTAACACACGGTGGGGCTGGCACACGTATCATGCCGGGGCGTCCCTCCGCCCTGACAGTCCCCCATCCGCTCACCTTGATGCGCTCCCCATCAATCTCCACTGCTCGTTCTCGGAAATCCACGCCGATAGTAGCCTCTGTGCGGTCGGGGAAGCGGCCGGCGCAGAAGCGGTAGGTCAGGCACGTTTTGCCCACATTGGAGTCGCCGATCACGATTATCTTGAAGATGCGGGAGCGTGCCGGCGGCAGAAACACTGAAGCCCCTGACAGCGCACCGCTGGACGTAAAGCTCGCCTCCATGGACGACTCCATCTCGGAAGCCATGCTCCTGACCCGCCGCAGACTGAGGCGGAGGAAAGGAGACGCAGACCCGCTGGGCGATTACGCCACCCGGAGCGAGAGCGCCCAGCCCAAGGGCTCGGGTGAACAACGTCGCCGGAGCCACCACCCTCCAGGCCGGGGGCGCGCATGCGCACCTTCGGCCCCGGCCCCGCCCGCGCAGGTGAGGCGCCCACCAGCCCCGCCTCCTGGGTCCTCCCGCCCTGCCCACCGCTCCACCCCAGCGTCGCTCGGGCCGGCGCTCATCTACCTGGGAAGGCCCGGAACCTGTCGGGGGCTTGACGGCGGCGCGGAAAGCCAGCCTGCTGAGCGGCCACGCGAAGCGCCCCAGGCCTGGCACCCTGGCTGGACCCGCCACGCCACGTCCACGGCTCCCGCCCTCCGGAGGAAGCCGCGCAGTCAGCCTGGGGGCGGGGACAGAAAGACAGCTGAGAGGAAGGAGGTACCACCAGGCGTTCTCTCGCGAGAGCGCGGAAGAGCCGCCTCCTCCGCCGGAGGTGTGCGCCTGCGGAGGGTCTGCAAGGCCGCCGGAAGGCGCGGGTTGGGGCGCCGCGGTCGACGTGCGGCTGCGGCCTCCCCGGGCGTGGAGGGGGACAGGGGCGCCCTGGGCCTACAGCTGGGCGCCGCGGCGTCGGCTGCCGACCGCGCGGGTTGGGACGGCGACAAGGGCTGGAGGGGCTGGGGCGCAAGGTGCTGCCACGGGCCCGCCCGGCGCGGGAAGCCCCTGCGGCCGAGCTGCGGGCCACGCGGAGTCGGGCAGCCGTCGCTCTTGGCAGGCGCATGGCCGTCCGGGAGCGGGCGGGAGTTCGGGGTCGCCCACCGCGTGGGCAAGAATAATTTCCTTGGCCGCCCACTAGGCCATGGGATGTTACCCGCGGGACCCTGGTGCCCAGGGATCGATTGGCAAATGCCCCCGGCCCAAGAAGTGAAGGTCACATGTGGGCCACTTGGGAGCATTGAACCCGGGAGTTGTTACTAGATGGCCTCTCGGGTGAGAGTAAAACCCATTATGCTCTGGTTCTGTCTCATGCCTGGGTGACGCTGATGTAGCCGTTAAATACTACTGAGCGTACGCAGAAGGTGTCTGGCAGACTACCTAAGGAAAATAGTATTATAATAGGCGAGAACACCCAGCCTTAAAGAGCCTTCTCTGGGTTACCATGAATTCTTAGAGGAAACCTACCAATACGTTAAGTCCAAAATGTGCAAACATTGCTCTTTGTGAAAAGTTTTGTTTTACGATGACAAGACTGAGCCAAATGGTTATGGCATTTTGAAAGTCAAGGACTGTGGAGAGGAGGACATGGCAGATCTTAAAGAGAGTGAGGGGAATGATAGAGCACTAAAAGTTCTAGGAAAGGAGATAAAACTGCTTATTCCAGTAGATAAAATGAAAATGTTAACATTTTCATTTTATCTAATGAATTAGTGGTAGAACCTGAGCATGGCGAGTTAACAGGAATTTGCAAAGCCTTAATACGGTTAATTTCTGTAGAATTCTTTTGTACAGTCACTAATGTACCAAGTTATGCTAGCTGGGAGAAAAACGTTTATTCACCTGGTTGAATGTGTATGCCAATTTTTTCAGTTTTCTGTTATAACAATTCTGATTGATTATCTGTGAAGTTATTTCCATGAAGATTAATCATCCCAGAAACTACAGTAGAGAGCCTCAGAATATAGTCCTCTACTCTAGCCCATTCAAAGGAATCTGAAGATTTAGGAGAAAAAGCAGTTGAGGAATTCAAAGATGTGGATAATCATGTAATTTCAGAGGGTGGTGGTGGTGACAAAAGCATCAACATCTTTGCACCCCAAGACCCTTGCTCTTTGTTTTTTGTATTCTGGCTTTTTTGCTTTAACTCTTGCTAAACTGCATCAGAAATTCTTTTCTCAGTTGATCCAAATCCTATTCATATTTCACATCCTAGCTCAAAAATCTCATCTCTGTAAAGCTTTTCTTGATTAGTTCAGCTCAGAATGTTCTTGGCTTTAGTCTAACACACTTTTGGGGTATTATTGCCCATTTGGTCTTTGAATGTTTGGTCATACTGTTTCATAAGTATGTATTGTGTCTTACGAACTGGATTGGCAACTCTTGACTAGAGACTGAAAGCTCGTTATTCAGCAATTAGTGAAGTGAGAAATTTCTTGTGTAAGGATTATCAATTTGAGCTCCAATTATACACAGTTCAGCACCACTGAGATGGAAAAAGCACCGTGGACACGGAACATGGTTATGAGTTTTGTATTTTCAGCTAAGCAGTTTGAGAAACTCCTCATGTGACTAAAGTATATACCACTCTTCTTAACTGAATAACCCCAGAGCCTCCAGGTTTGATAGTTGAAGGAGATTCTACTATTGGGAAGAGGACTTTTTAAAAGAGGGTAAATTTTAAAGTCCTCTTTCTCAGCAAAAACAATAGCAATATTTTGTGGTGATTATAACATATACAAAGGGGATGTATGCCCACAATATCACAAAGTATGGAAGGGAAAAATGAAAATATATCTTACTTTATAGTATATGTGTTGTAGTACGATTTTTTTTTTTTTAAGATTTTTATTGGGGAATTGGGATGGGAACAGCGCTGGGGAATTGGGGGAAGGAGAACACAAGTTGCTGTCGTTTTGTTCTTCAATCTAGTTGTGGAGGACATTACTTCACTGGCCCAAGCTGGCACCATCATTGCACTCTTCCCGGGCGAGG